AATAACACAGATGGAACAAGTTAGACGCCCACAAATTACAAAATCAATTTCAGAGGTCCAGTGTTCATCCAAAAAGTCAAGCGTGAAATTCGTGAGGCGGAATGGTGAGTCGCACGAGCTGGACAGAAGTGAACGTTAGCCAACGGATCAGAAACAAAGATAATCAACACACCCATATGGTGCTCCGTAGTAACCTGCCGGACGTTTGTCCTTGAGATTGGATCGATGGCATGCAGAGGCTCGGGATGCACCAGGTTCATAAAACGGATCGGGGTGGATGTCAGTGATGTGCAGAAACCGACCGTGAAGCTTCCTGGGGACAGGTTCTTTCAATCATTTGAGTGACCAAAGGTGTGATTGAAATGACCACAAAGCACGTACGAAGTTCAACCAGTGATGAGCCCAGTACAATCTGAGTAGGGGACGCGAGGCTCGTAATGCAGCATAGTCCCAAGGTAAAAATCAGACTTCTCGTCCTCATGATTTCTCGGGGAAATGATTAGATACTGGGCCATCGAACTGTAGTGGTACGAATTATTAATAGGGAGCAGTGTGCACAGCTGCAGTCGGGTTGGTGGCGAGTGTCAAACCTAGAATGGGATTGAATGGGAAACACGTTCGTCGCTCTGGCCTATCACACAGTGGGAGCTCTTTTGAGCGTCCTTCGTGAACTGAGCGGCATATTTTTGGGCGGGTTTCATGGACTACGGCATATAAAAATGATATTTCTGCGAGGTATCCGGGATCCATGCGTGTACCAGTAGGGGCACAGTGAGATGAAACGTTGATGTGCGATTGAACGTGTATAAGGTTACGGTAAGTTCTATTTCATTTTGAAATCCCTTGGGTGTTACACGTGCCGTGCTGTGACCAATATTATAGGTCACATTTTTTCTTCATTGAAGGCTTCTTCTCACTGAAATTTCTCGTCCCACTAGCTGGCATTCAATTTGCACACCTACCCTATAGCATTGTACGATATGTACCGAGGTCGTTCGAATCCATCGTGTCCCTCCGCCCTTGCAGTGGAATCCTGGCTAATGCCTTACCGTCTGCCGCGTTCCCGCGAGGTCAATACACTGGTAGGGCCTGACATGGGTCGACCCGGGACCCGGGACATACCCAGGCGCTGCTACGGGCCACGGCCACGGGTAAGTTGAGCTATAAGTATATCGTAACGGCGCCAGTCCCCAATTCCGCTGCTGTACGTGGTTATTTAACTCGTCCGGGCGGTGTATCGACTTCGACATAACAATAATCGTGCGTGTGATAGACCATGCGGGGGCCCTATCTAACAAAGCCATGACACTTTTAGGTGCACCGAATAGACGAAGATTTTTTCACCGCCGATGAAGTACAACTTGAACAATTGTCATTGATTGCAGTGATTGATCAAACTAACTAGCAAATACAACGATTTCGTGCATGTAGACTCTGCAACACTGAGCTGATGGTATTGGCTACAATATTCGACATTGCCTGCTCCAGTGAAGGCCGAGGAAGTTTCATAATGGGTATTTTGCTGGTCGCCAAACTTATGACCATCGTCCTCGGACAATCGTAAACTGACGCAGAAGGCTATTGGATGTGAGTTCCATTTGATCATCCACGGCCACATGATGGCCAAGAGACAACGCGAGATCACACCCATTATTTTGAGGAATGCAACCCTTATCTCAGCGTCTAGTAACATCACACGATGTGACGAAGGTTTCACCTGAATTGTGCATGTGACTTATGCTGAAAGGAAGACGTACTAAGCACCATGGTGCATGTTCTGCCCCATCCGCGAACTCGTGAAGCCAATCACAGAAGATGTGATGATAGATTGTGGAATTCCACGCGTTGAATAATGAATAGCACCTCATTTGGAGCTGTACACAAATCATAGTGCATTATGCATATTTATTTAGGTTATGTTGAACACACTACATTCAACATAAAACAGATCTGGGGAGTGAAGAGCAGAGTCAATGAGAACAAGTTCGAAAGCTGAATACCCACTACATGGAGCTAGCAGGAATCCAGACTATTCAAAGTGTAGTGTAGTGAGAATGAATCATAAAGCCGATAACTTCGAACATCGAAGTATTAGTGGTGATGGGGTACATATAGATGGAAAAGAAAAATCAAGCATAGAAATCATATTGTCACCATGTACTCACTGGAAGGTCTGACATCCGTCTATTGGTCAATCTTCAGGCTTCAATGTCCATGAATCATGATCCATCGCGTCTTCCGTACTTCCGTACAAGTTATCGTCATCATCATCGCCCTCATTAGCTGCATCCATGGAGACTAGTTTCTTGTTTGGACCACCTTCTCCAGCGGCCCAGCTCCATCGATAGCTTTGCACTTGCCTTGGGGTCGTTGACGAATGTAGCGGCAGTGATGGACGCATTAGGCAGTAACTGCATGGATTTCAACATCGCCTGATAGATACACAGGCCATTCTTGCTGTGGAAGCCGTGCAAGGACTTTTGAGTAAAAATATCCTGATGATAATTAGAATCACAGTATGCAGAGATTCAAAACAACGATGCTTGCATATCTTTATCCACACAGTGAGAGAAAGATAAGATCATGAATTCATGATTATTGGACAGGGCTGGTTCGGTAATGTTGCGGGTGTGAAACATAAGTACAAATGCCAAGCAAGTTCAATTGGTAGCAACAACTTGTTAAATGACTGACACAACCCGGAGTATTAGCTCGTCGAAGCTCAGTCACACCCTTGTCACGATATGTCACAAAACATCAAGTGTCGATAATGCATAGTTCCTGAATCCCGACGACTTATGCGTATGAGAAATCGACGAGAAACAAGTCCAGGAGCAGCATATTAATCAAGACAAGACATTCTGAGTCTTATATGTCTCCTTCAACCTTGGCGGGTAACTTTCGCTGAAGGCTGATCATGACATTGTCTACTTTTTTGACACAGATTCTTCCGCTGATCCTGGTTGCCAGTGACCTCGATTCCCACTGACAGCGCTAGATGCAATCATACCGTACGGCGTCTATTATGCCGAACAACCCTCGACAACCTCTTCTCCTCTCCCCCTCAGCTGAACTGCATCCACGATCCCATTCACTTTGAATCCCTCTCAATTTCCGATGCTGCGCGTCGTTCGTCGTTTGTTTCGTCCCACAATCACGCGTAGTAGCCTAGAAGAACGACATATTATTAAACTCGAAAGTAGGTCACTCTATACTACCTTTGCATTTGTTTTGTTATCTTCGCACTCTATTTACAGTCATCGGCGGAAAGAATCTTCAAGTCCCTTCTCAGCGCATACCTGCAGGCGTTTACATATCCATCAATATCGACTCGAAGAGACAATGGAGGTCGTCCGTCCAAGCCCTATCATCTGAAGAATCAGTAGTGTGGGGCGATACTGTGACCCTGTAAAATTCTTTGTAACTTCCGGCGCGATTCGAGAACTGATCTTCGGTTTATAGATCATCGAAGGCATCACGTGCATTCTCAGTGGAGATCAGGGCGTCATATGAGGCTGATCGAATGCTAGGCAGTGGAGAAGTCCTTGGGAAACTTCAAATGTGGTGGGATGAGCTACTCGATCATGGAGATGAGCCATTTGGTATGTGACACAGTGAATTGCTCCTCATTCATGCCATATACCGATATCTCATAGTTCTATCCTTCCCACCTGTGCGTGGTGTCCACCCTTCCCTTATACTGAAGGTTGCTGTTGTACATGCTTGCGACAATCATAACGGCGCACTGTCTGATGTGAGTGCCGCTGGCCTCTGTCTTGCTAGTTTTTGCTGACAGAACACCAACTATAGTGCCTCGTAGACTGCGAAATAGCTCGAGACACAGATGCGGGCCACGCACGATATGCCAAATATGTAACGAGAAAAACAGTCGCTCACCTGAACTATGCTGTAGAGCATTTTCAGTTGGTCCTGGACCAGTGTCCGGTCAGCCACCCAGATCACGCAATGGCTCTCACCAACCTCGCGTGGGCCCGCCTTCAAGGATATATCGACAACCATCTTCAAGACATTGCTGCCACCATTTCTCTCTTCCGTGACGCCCTTGCATTGCGTCCTCAGCGCCATCCGGATTATCCCATATCTCTATATAATCTCACTTCAGCGCTGACTTGGCGCCACAGGAAGAAAGGTACTGCTGCCGACATCTGCGAAGCCGCCCAACTCTATCATGAGTTACTACCTCTCTGTCCAGAAGGCACCTACCTTCGTAGCATCGCAGCAGGACCAAATGGTGTCGATTATGTGATCAGTGAATGCAATGATCTTCCAATAGACGCATCCGATGAAGGCATCCACCTTCGAAGAGTCGTCCTCGAGCTCGGTCCTCTGGGCCATCCACTTCGTTGCAGTGCCTTCAACAATCTTGCACAAGCAGTTAAAGCACGCTTCAACCAACGCGGCAGCATCGATGATCTTGACACGAGCATACAACTTGGTCGTGAAGCTGTGTATCTGTGCCCCGAGGGACATGCTGGCCGTGCTAGCTATCTGAACGACTTGGTGTTATCACTCGAGTCCCGCTTCGGTCACCAGGGCAAGCCCAATGACCTCGATGATATCATCTCTCTGCACGAAAAACTGCTGCACCTGTGCCCTGTCGGGCACACATCTCGTGGTGTCACATTGGACAACCTAGGCAATGCCCTCATCACTCGTTTCTACAAACGCGGTGACATTGATGACATCACACGAGCTGTCAGCCTCCGTCGCGAGGCACTGACATTACATCCACCCGGGCATCCAAGTCATGGCACCACGCTTAAAAACCTTACCACCGCGCTCAAAATCAGGTATGCCAATTTGCCGGTTGGCGAGGATCTTGATGAGGTCATGAATCGGTATCGCGAATCCCTTTTGCTAAGGCAACATGACTGTATCTTGTACAATATCAGGTGATCTTTTCAATTTGAGCTCGGCGCCCTGCTCTCGTTTCACGCTGTGTCAGTGTGGTCTGGCTAGGGCACCTATACCTCCCATATTTCCTTCTAAGTAAAGAGGAGAGACATCTTGCGTGATACGATCGCTCAACGTTATGCGGAACTTCATCTCTTCACCCACCATCTCAGATCATTTTACTGCTCGTTCCTGCCACCTTTTCCTCTTTCATTGCCATGATTCCGAGATCCTTGTTGGTGTACTTGGTGACGGGCAATTCCACGCCATGCTGGTAGCTGTCAGGCGAATTTTCCAAGAGTACAATGGCCCTAGCATCCATCGACGCGCTTTTGCGCAGCTGCTTGTTGTGCGCCTTGTCTTTATACTCATAGGTGCTCGTTGTGAAGAATACGAGGACTGGCGTTCCGTTTTCGATTTCGTCGTCGACCTTTGGCAGTTTCCAGTAATTTTCGAGACAGGACGGTTGCTTTCCGTTGTATGTTGGAACTGGATAAGAGTGTGAGTGTTTTTCATGGTCGTTCTTGCATTCTCTTACTGTGTTCGTCCCATTGCAACAGTTTGGCTGTGTTAATCGCTGGGTCATCTTTTTGTTTGAGCCTGCATGCATGAACTTACTCGTGGCTGTAGGTGCTTTCTCTTCGTCCTCGTTTTCGTTCATTTTGTTGCCTCCGGCCTCCTTTCCGGTCCTAGTCAAGTGAAGAAGCTGACTCCTCTACGTCTACTCATGTCAAAGCGGATACAGTAAGTACTTAGCAGTGCACAGGTGGATCATAATGGAGTCGGGTAATACACTCACCTCGCGCGGTATGTCATATTGCCAACTGCCAGGTTCTGCCATGGCGAATGGCAAGAGTACTAGCGTTTGCAGGCGCAGTGCGCAGTGACGCACATTCGAACATTTGAAACTCAATCCGCTCGGGAATCTGAGATAGATTGACTAATCAGCAACATTTTATCATCCTTGTACTAGGAAGCGCCTAAGAATGAACATGCTTCTTGGGTGCAGCAGCCACCACCCTAGATAGAGAATGCGTCTCAGTGACATGGGGTTTTACCTGAATTGTGCATGTGACTTATGCTGAAGGGACGTAGACCTACCAAGCACCATGGTGCATGCGTCAGGACCTAATGTATACTTCTGCCACATCCTCGAACTCATGAAGCCAATCACAGAAGATGTATTTATTGTAGGTGATAGTGTAATTCCACGCATTGAATACTGAATGGCACCTCGTTTGGACCTGTACACAAGGTTATGATGAACACAGTACGTCCAGCATAAAACAGATCTGGGGAGTGAAGAACAGAGTCAGTGAGGACGAGTTCGAAAGCTGAATACCCACTACATTAAGTTGGCAGGAATTCAGACTACTTAAAATGTAGTGTAGTGAGAATGAATCACAATGCCGAGAACTTCGAACATCGAAGTGACGATGGATGATCGAGCGTAAAAATATCACCAAAACTTAAGAGTCTAAAAGGAATCATAAGGCGATAAGCCTTTTTTGACGATGTTTGAAATGTGCTCACTGGAAGGTTTGGCATCCGTCTGTTGATCAATCTTCAAGTGTTAATGTCCATCATGATGCATTGTGTCTTCCGTACCTCTGTACAAGTCATCGTCAGCGTCATCGTCCTCATTGGCTACATCATCCATGGAGACTAGTTTCTTGCTTGCCAGACTACCTTCTCCGGCAGCTCAGCTTCATCGATAGCTTTGCGCTTGCGCCTTGCGGTCATTGACAAATGTAGTGGCAGTGATGGACACTCAGGCAGTAACTGCATGGATTTCAACATCACCTGATAGATACACAGGTCATTCTTGCTGTGGAGGCCATGCAAGGACCTTTGAGCAAAAATACCTTGATGACAATTGAAATCACAGGACGCAAAGATTCAAAACAACGATGCTCACATATCCGAGTCTTTGTCCATGCAGTGAGGGGAGAACAAGACCGCGATTGTTGGATAGGGCTGGCTCGGTAATGTTGCGGGTTGAGTGTAATATGCAGGTGGGCAGCTGAAAGATGAGGTTTATGCAGAAGAACATTTACACGATGTCATGACAAACACAACCGACAACTCGTTAAGGAAATAAAGCTCAAAGACCCACAAACTTTTTGACGGCCAACTGGGTTTTTTCATGCATGCGAATGGCAACAGCAAGTACTAGCGCTGTGATGCGCATTCGAACATTCAGTAAAACTCAATTCGCTTTGCTGTATGCTCGAATCTGAGATGGCTTGATCAATCGGCAACGGTTCATAATCCCTTCACAGCCTTGTCCTAGGAAGTGCCTAGTAAGAATGAACATGCTCCTCGGGTGCAGCAACATCACCCTGGATAGAGAATGCATCTCAATAACACCCTGCCACTTAGTATAGCTTCTACCTGTAGGCCGCTAGGTATATATATTGGTCTTTGACGTTGATCTTACTATAAGAATCTTTCGAAGTACTCTGGCGTATTTGACAAGGTGTACAGCTGATAGACCGTAAGTTACCGTCTAACACTTTTAAATCCCAGGATCAGGCGCCCGTCGCTCACAAGGCTGTTCCAAGTTACAACCCTCATTGAACGTGTGTCTTGTGCGTGTTCATATAACTACTCGATTGTGACCGTCAGCAAACCATAACATCATCTCATACTGACATGCACTTATCCAGAAGTCTCGTCCAGCCAACAATGCGTGGTATACCTCTTTCAAATTCCAAGTTCACTCTCGATGCCTCTGGAGTAGCAGGTTTTTTCGGTGGTGACGAAGCTGTTTCTGCGATGGCAACCGTACATGTGTATCAAGGGAGAAAATGGTTGGGATGGTACAATTCACCAGGATCATACCTTATCGCCAAGAGGTATGGCCAACTGGCCAACTCGCGTTTCTGGGACGGTTTATTCCCGGGCGTCAACACCGACCCTGCCACGCTGTTCGAGCTGGATGGTTGGAAGGGCCCAAAGTTCAAGGGTGTAGAGTCTGGGTCGAATATCCCCGAAACTGGTCACCTCGCTTCTTTGATGGTAAAAGAATGCCAGATCAAGCAGGGCATAGATGTGCCAGGGAAAAAACCCAACCGGTTGGAGTCACGATCGTTGACCTCCACTACGTCCCTGATGCAACAATGACACCAAAGCAACTCACGAAGTACACCAGCGCTTTCGCTTTCATCCCTATGTCAGTATCCTTCGGCACCTGCATCGCGTGCGCTCTCTTCGGAGACTGGTACTCCTTCAGTATGATCCTGCTCGGAATAGTTGCAAGCGGAATATCATGTCTTGTCATCGGATCCGGACAATTCACTTTCTCTCATCCCGTCCCAGCCCCGGGAGCGCCACGAGGTGATGGATTGCTCCTCACGGATAACAATGTCATCGTCCTACATGGCGAAGAGGGCGCTGTCAATTCCATTACCCGTGGGAGATTCTCTCTGAACTTCGGTAGTGAACCAGAATACAGAAACATCGGCATATGCTCGTTGATCCTCACGACGCAATTCATCGCACAGCTGTTGCTCATACCCCAGGCCGGGCTCTTCGGGCAGATCATGTTCGTAGCCTCGCTCGCAGTCTCCTGGGCATACAACTCGTGGTTGTCCTCGTTGGATAAGGCAGAGATCCAGAGGAGGTTGCTACTGGATGTGGTCCTCAAGCGGCCGTTGATGACGAAATATATGTTGGGCACGCGCACTACCATGGCAGTCTTCGTTTTGCTGGCGTTGAATCCGTCAGACCCGGCAAAGGTACTTGATGATCTTCTCCCAAATGATACCAAAGTGTGGAGGAGGTGGAAATCGATTA